TCAAAATCGTAAATCATAGTCTGACGTAGCTTTTAACGCAATTCTGTGGATTTTAATTGCGCGTTGCACATGTTGCGAATATCGCATGCGACTCTTTAAATCCTTGTACACCACACTTCGTCTATAGTTTGCCTTATGGTTGCCTACGCAGTTTCCACATTTCCTCACGGACTGTCCTTTTTTGTACTTCAGTTAGCGGAGTTGTGAGCGTCCCCGCAGACCTAGTATAACCTAGCGTGTCCGTACTCTTGGCACTGGACCGTTGCGTTAATGTGGCTCTTCAACAGTGTTTCCCCGATGCAAGCTTGTAAATTGCGTGGACTTCTTTCTTCGACTTTGACTTCGAGGCCTTAAAGACCTCGACTCTCAAGAGGGGTTGTGGCTTTTTATCTTTATTTAGAATTTTAATAACATTCATGGCGGCGAAGCCCTTTTCTTTAAGGGCGGTTCTTATTTCTTGGCGTACATCGGGTTCGATATCCTTTACTACCACTTGTAGGCTCTTTTCAGCTGATACGTGTAGTCGTTTTTCTTAGCATTGTCTACGTATCTGGACACGACTCGGAAGTGCTCTTTAGTCTTTGTTGGATGAATGTTCCCTTTGATAAGTGGGACAATATGTAAATTGTTACCTTTTCCGATCAACGCTGCAATTTCACCAAAGCGTTCGAGCTGGTTGGTTTTCCCCAACCTCCGCCAGAAGGGCAAATATGTTGCTACTGGATCTGCCTGGTTCTTCATCGATCTTTTGAACGCGGTTAATTTTTGTTTTATTGCCTGCCGGATTACTCTGCGAGCTAAGCTTGCGCTTAATTTGGATGTAGAGATCCATGCCAGTTTCTTTGGCCAAGGTCGCTTCTTGTCAAGGTAGGGACTTGAAACTTGGCACAAAATATTATTTATTTATTTTTATTCTAAGATAATATGTTAAAATTAGCCTGATCGGGCAACTATATCATATAGCTGCCATAAACTGATTGATCGGAAATGCTCTAACTTTGGTGTTTTTACAGTTAGAGAGTTCAGTTTTTGTACGAATGCTATATTTGTATACGACCTACCAAATTTCATAACGACTATATCGTGATAACGATCAGCCGACTATATCCTATAGCTGCCATATAACTGATTGATCAGAAATGCTATAACTTCGGTGTTACTAGAGTTAGAGAGTTCCAATTTTGTGTGAATGCTATTCTTGGTAAAGTAATACGACAACCCAATTTTATAAGGATCGGCCGACTATATCCTAAAGCTGCCATATAACTGAAAAAACGGAAATGACCCAACTTTTGTGCTTTTTTAGATAAAAAGTTAAAACTTCGAGCAGATTCTAATTTTGGTCAGTTGATCCAACCTACCAAATTTTATAAGGATCGGCCGACTATATCTTATAGCTGCCATATAACTGAACGATCGGAAATGGTATTTGGTATAAATACAAACTTTGGTATTTTTGAAGATAGAGGCTTGAGACTTTGTTTTAGATTTTTATTGCATCTAAAGAACATTATTAAACAAAAGCAAAAACAATTCGTTTTGTCAAATTAGCTTCAGTTATAAGAGCTACTACTTCACATTCCTTTGCTGGAAAAGTCGAAGGATTCGGTTGCCTGCAAACACAACGTATGTCATCCGCAGCGGACTGATTGACCTCTGATATTTCTGCTATCCGTCGCCGCTTCGTTCTTTCTGAGCACACTGCTAGACTTAATTTTGGACGTCCACGTTGAGTAGTTTTGATCATTTCTTGAGGCTTACTAGGAGAGCGATTCATTAAAATTGTTTCCTTTTCGTTAAGCCAATTAGATTGGAACTTAAGAACTGATGCCTTTTTGCGGTTATATTGTTTCCAAAAAATATCAATTTTTGTGCAAATGTATCCAATACAATTCGTTAGAAAGCCCATCTCGGACACGTAGCCAATGTCTTCAATACTGCTGTTTACGTGATCGATGACCTTCCGTAATTTTCCTGCATTGGTGCCGATTGCTGTACACCAATAATCAAATATGTACAACCGAGTGAAGACACATTGAGAAGAGTCAGCTACCAAAATTAAATTAGTAAAAAAAAACGATATTAAAATTAAAATTTAAAGCTAATAATAACATAAAACGCGAAAGACGAACACAAAGACAGCACAACTACAATGCAAAACAGCTGCATCGACCTTGAAGAAAATAATATCTTTAACTTAAAAATCCATTTTATATAATATAAATTGAGCAGCGTAATTAGTTGACTGAACACTTTGAAGTATACTTTTGTTGTGAAATATTCGTGATGCGTGCAGCTGCGCTTTACAAAAGAACACGTGTTCACAGCTTCAATTCTATTTTTAGAAAGAACCGTGAAGCTTGCTCAAACCACGTCCGATCAGTTGGTAGGTTGTTCTGTTTTTAAGCTGTTTTCTTAACTGGCTAAGGATGAAGGTGACGGTTTTCCCATTGGCTCTCGTGTTTTCCTCCAGGATTTTTATGTGGACTTTTATGTTTGGATGTTGTGGAATCTTATGTTTTATCTGGTGCCCCAACGAAGACTAAAGCTATTGAGATAATTTCAAAACATCGAGCCTTTTGAACAAGGGTCAGTTTCAATTAAGGAAGTGGTGCTCCAACATTCTAGAGGTTTTGGAAGGAGTACCCGAGGGTGACAAGGATCCGTAATTAATATTTAACGAAGGCAGCACGTTTAAAAAGACTCTTGAAGCCCCTTAGCGCACCATCAAACCAACCCTGAGATCTATTCTATTTCCGTCGCTTGTTTTTATGACGCGATGGCCTTTCCCTATCCCTTCTCTCCGAGTGGTTGCAATTCTGTTTCACTTTTGATTAAACTCAGCGAATGAAGTTTCCTCGATTAGTCATTCCTTGCTAAGAAAAACGGAAAGTCCACGGATTCAGTGACGCCAGCTTTGATGCGTTTTTGGGCCTTGTGTTTTTGTATTGTCCGAGTCTGACTTTCGACTGTTGGGCGTGGAGTAGAGAGTAGAGTGAAGAGTGACACAGAGTGGCACCCAAAAAGACTCAGACTATACCGAAACTGGAGCTATGTTAGTTCCTTGCTATAGTTACTAGCAAGACTAATGGCTGAAGTTGCTGATCTTGGTACCTATAATGGAGATTATTACTGTTTGTGTGACTCCTTGGTTGCCCTATCCTGGATTCAAGGTGTATCTCTATTTAATGTGCTTGTTTCAAATCGAATCTTTTTGATACAGGAGCTCACCAAGGCAATAAAATGGCGTTATGTCACTACTTCATCTCACCCAGGCACTCTACTGTCCAGAGGTGCTCTTCCCCACTGAGCTATTGGATTCCCATCTTTGGTCCCATGGGCCTTCATTTCTTCGTGCCTCCAAGGAGGATTGGCCTATCACTATTTTGGCTGAAAGGGCAACCATCGAACTTCGCGCCAGAACCTTATTGGCTACAGCTCATGACCATGCAAACCGCCCTGGGACATCGTATCATTGTCAATGTTTGCCAATTCGTTTCCCGCCTTTCAGAAAGTTTTCGGCTATGTTTACAAATGTTGCCACCGCATCCGTCATGGAGGCATTTTTGTTGTGGATCTCCAGAAAGACAACCATTTGCTGTTGCGCGTCGTTTAGGTACTTAATTTAAGGAAGAGATAAGCTTGTTAAAATCGCGCAGATTGGTGTCACCCTCAAGCCCGCTTGCCGAACTTCCTCTCTTTGTAGCTGATGCTGTATTGCTTCATGTTAATAGTCGACAGTCGACAACGCGAAACTCTGCTGGAACTATTTTTCCAAGGGTCACTTCGGCTATAGTCTTTCCCTTTCAGGGTTTTAAACTCGTCTTCTGGAGCATAACATGGCTGATATTCTAAGCGACAGAGTTGAAGGTTTCCATGTGTGGATTTTTGCGGACCGTTTTTCTACAAAACAGAGTCTTGGAATAAGGGCCCCATCAAAACGCCTAATATCAAAAAATCGGCAGCAACTCAAAACTATTAATTGCGTAACACATGTTATACATGTCTTACAGAGAGACTAATTTTTTTATTCTTTTAATAACATCTGTTAGACTAAAAAAAATGTTTTTTTGATCAAACAGAAAGAGTTTTTAACATTTTAGTGTTTTGTGCCTATACTGAAAGCAAAGAAAACGTTACACACACCCTTTTTTCCGTTGCACCCAATATATAAATCGGAACAGCCGGGATCAACCGACTATATCCTATAGCTGCCATATAACTGAACAATCGGAAATGACCACACCTTGGTATTTTTAAAGTAAGCAATTTTTAAAGTTTTTTTTTTATTTTCTATTCTTAGAAATTGTTTTAACATTGAAATGCTCATAAGAATCGGCAAACTATACCTAATATTCATGCCCTGGTAAATGAAGTAACGGCGCTTAGAGAGGGTTTTTGGACGATCGGGTTTGTGGTAAAGGGAGAGTAGCTGGGAGATCAATAACCTTAGCAGGCTCTCTTTGCACAAACCGACTGACTTTTACCGACAAAAGGGCCAAAAGTCATAATTGAAGACTGTAGGGAAATGTTGCTCCGGAACTCCCAATTTAAAGTTTACGAACTGAGGGCGTCGATGTCAGCATATTTTTTAGTACAGTGTAGTATAGGCTAAATCACTCGGTTCCACGTTCAGCTTATCTGCGACAAGCTTGCACAGTGCATCCGGTTGGGTAGACTTCGCGAATTTACCAATATGAAGGTATTTTAAGGTGGGAAGCACTTAGTGCTTGTCCCACAATGCGTCTATTAGGGTTGATCCACTTCTTCCTTGACAGAGCCACCTTTGATGTCGTTGGGGCCTGGCCCAGTGTAGGCTTTTTGCTTCCAGTGCTGGTGGGCATGGAAGGGGGAGCAACAAAGTGCGCCCCAGCCGAAGAGACCCCAGTGGGTCCAGCCGCTCCATTTACCAGGGCATGATCCAGGGCAATATACCCAATATACAATATACCCAATGCGATATATACCCGATCTTAACCATTTGAATTGATATAACTTACCGTAACCTTTGTAGGCAACTCATCTTCATTAATATTCATGCCATATATATATTGAGTAATTAGTAAGAATTCTGCGTATATAACTACAAAAAAACTAGACCGCATCATGGAACGCCGCTGATTTGGAATCATCCAAAGAATATTAGCCCATATTAGTAAAACAAATGTTAACCAGCTGTGATAAACAATTGACCAAATCTGAAAATATAAATATATACAACATTTTACATTTTTTTATATGATTTTACGTTTGCTAAAGTCGGCCCCTTAAAAAAAGATATTCAAAAAAAGTCATATGTTTTAAAACAATTAACTGAAGCCACCCAGCAGGGAAACATAATAAAAAAATATCCTACTCCTCTAAAAATAATTTAATTTGGCTGAATTTCCTGTTTTAATACCCTTGCAGAGGATATTATGAGTTATATTACAAGTATATATTTATACAAGTATATATATTCTTTACCAGGATCACCAGAAAACTAGTCTCTCAGTCTTAAATCTATCGATTTTAAACTTTGCACACACCGTTCTTTCTTTTGCACCCAGTAGGTAGCGATATATACCGGATTCGAGGTGAATGAAAAAAATTTGAACGCGCCTAACAGCCGAATAGTCATACTGTACGGAGCAGCCGATCAAACTTGCATGCGCTCACATTTTCGTTGTAGATTTTAAGTCCACTCGGGTGCGAAATATTTGCGAACAGTTTGCAAGGTGACACCAATGAACGTTGCGATAAATATATCTTTCCGTCCACAAGTCAACTGTGCCAGTACTTCACCACTATGAGCAACTTTGGCTATCTTATCTTTAATAATTCTTTTCTTTCCTAAGACAACTTTAGCGTAAACCGTTGTTGCATAGGGCAGCAGGTCTTTCACAAATATTGATTAGCACCTTTGCCATGTTCCTAAATCCATTTCCATTGATTGCTGAAAAGGTTTGGCAGTCCTGTGTCACCCATTCCACACATGCGTCAATAGCATCTTTTTTGTCTTCAAGTTTCGCAGTAGTTCACAATTTTGACTCTTTAAGCAACTTGAATTTGAAGACTGTTTCGGTGGGTATTTCACAAGATCATGACAAGACCCGCAATATAAAAATTCATCCAGAACAACGCCATTCCCCTTAACAATTTCTGTCAATATGTTCCAAATATTGCTTCTACCCTTATGTAGAGCAGCCAATTGGTATTCACTTGCGCGAGTGAGTTGTTTTCACTTTTTTTCACTCACTTTTCAATGATACAATAATACCATCCATATCCATATCAATCAAGTAACAAAATGCAACTAATTATGAAAAAAAAGTAATATAAGTTATACCGAAACGAAAAATTCGAAATCAAAATCAAGCTTGAAGAAGCTCGCATAGAAATTTTTATTGTACATGCAGTCGTAAATTTTACATCGTGCCCCCTTGTCGCTAATCATTTACTCTTGGTCGTATATCAGCTGAAATTGATCCGAATGATGGTTTCGTCAACACATGCTCATTTTTTTTAACGGAATGATGTGTATCGCAAAATGAGTGAATTTTGAATAAAATTGATTTGAATAAAAAAGTTCCCATGTAATTAAACCAACAAAAGTTTTGCAGTTCTAAAAAAACTGTCGGGTCAGGCAGCAGCCGCTAAATTAGTTATAGATTATTTATTAAGCTAAAGTATGGATATATGCCTTAGTATATGCCTTATATATGCCCAAACAAAGTAACATATTTAGGAGTACATCTCGACAGAAGACTCACATGGCGCCGGCACATTGAAGCCAAAAGAAAACACCCAAGGCTAAAAGCCAGCGGCCTTCATTGGCTTATCAACGCTCGGTCACCTCTTAGCCTTGAATATAAAGTCCTGCTGTACAGCTCGGTACTAAAACCTATATGGATGTACGGCTCCCAGTTATGGGCGAACGCCAGCAATAGCAACATTGACATAATTCAAAGAGTTCAGTCGAAGATCTTGAGAACAATCACCGGGGCACCGTGGTACGTTCGCAACGAAAACATACACCGCGATTTAAACATTCTACCAGTCAAAGAAGCGATCGCAGAACGTACTAAAGTACTTAACCAAGCTCTCGGTGCACCCTAACCACCTGGCGAGAGGTCTAACAAGGTTGAACAAGGAACCAATCACGCCTTCGTCGCAATGACTTACCCACCCAGCGACCGACCTGAGGGACGCGCAACCAGAATGCAGTCTTAGTAAACTGTTAGTTAAATTTTAATGTTAAGATTCGTCAACTTATTGTTAGTCTCAAAATTAAGAGTAGATTCAATAAATAAAAGCAAAGCTATAATTAAAAAAAAAAAAAAATATGCCTTAGTTGGCCCAAGCAGACTCTTTCTCGGCGGCTCGACTTCAACGGGCCTATTTTAAAAGAGCTTTAGCTTCGCAATCACTATGTCGGGCCGCCCTCTCCGCTATCGAGAGCTTTTATCCGCTATCGAGAGCGTATGTCTAGACGGGCCGCACTCTCTGTCCATATTATTAGTCACTGCTTAGCACCATAAACTGGATGATCACAATGGCTGATCCCAGTTTCATCTGCCTGCAGTATAAATAAACTTTAACGTCCAATAATTAAATTCTGCTTTTCATTTCCCGGCATTGAAAACTCTTAATGACCAAACAAAAACTATATAATTAAAAGCAATCGCTATAGCAGTAGCAGAAAAAAAATATTTTTTGCTCTGCTCTTCTCTCGGTCTTGATTTTTGGTTACGACTACGCGGAGCACAGAATATTTTTTCTTCTATTTCTATAGCTATAGCTTTGAAATTTGTCGTAGCTCGGAGCAGAGCAGACAATTTTCGTTTTCTTGCTACGGCTCTGCTCCCGCTCACGAAAGAAGTGAGAGCGGTACCAATAGCAAAACGAAAAACTATGGGACTACGGAGTTCAAACACTGGAAATTTCCAACCCCATGGGTTTTGGGCACCACTGGCATAATGCAGGAATACGGAATGAATCCAATGGTTTTGACGCACTGTGTTTACTGGTACATTTTTTTCTAGGAATATCTTAAAATATAAATATGTAGTTCAAAAAATTAGAACCTATTCTAAGTCATAACTTGGCCGTCACTTGCCGTACCCGGACGTGTTTCTTCGATCGGTCTTGCCAGTTTGCAATTATTTTCGATCTTGAACTCAAGCTTTCTCCTTCCGCGACAAGTGGAAATATAACGATTAATCTCCATAAATAAATTCGACTTAATAAGTTCATTGAACTATTTATTTCCAATTTATACATTTAATCGTTTAAAGTTATCTCTGTTGCGCTTTAACTATATTCTCCAACATAAATCTCTCCGAGCTGTACTCTCTGGACGTAACCCGTTACATCATAATTACTGTGGAGTTTGTTGTTGTTCACGACGCCAAACCTTCGTTGCACATCTCTTTTGAAACGTTGTCTCTTACATCCGATCTGATCGTCCACTCTCGGCTACAGAGTGCTTCAGAGAGCCTAAATTCTTTACACGCTACTACAGTGGTCTGCAATCCGTCAAAAATGAGTCTTACTTGCACTGAAAAAAAATGTGAATTTGGTGGATCCATCACGGGTGACTCATACCTGTCTTGTTGGCTCTGCAACAACTGCTCACATATTACATGTGCTGGAGGAGGACACAATGGACGGATAAGTGACCTTATCAACAAGAAAATTGGCCTGACATGGTCTTGCATCGCTTGTAGAGAAATTGAGTCAAAGATTCGGACTTTTATGAAACAGACGAGAAATGGTTTCCTAGATGTTCGCAAGCAATTCTCGGCCCTTAATGAGCAATTCCTCGCTCTTGAAACTCAATTCCTTGGGCTTAAGTTGAAAAGCGAATCCCCCAGACGAAAAATTCCGAACAACAACCTGCTGACTGCTAAATTACTGAATACCCCTACACCCCATGCTGTACAAGTTGATGAATTTTCAACACCAAACATTTTACCGTCGCCTACTTGTCTACCTACTTATGCTGATCCAGTACCAAGGGACTTGATGAGCCTTCCTTCAGGGCACTCTAATATTTATCCCTTGCAAGAAGCGATCTGCGTACCAAGTACAAATCTCGAGCCACCTCTCATCTTGGAGCCTCCATCGTTGGACATCGTTGGACAATCCCCATCGTTGGACAACCTACCCTCTGCTCTAGCTGTGATGTCTCCAAGGCCTCTGATTGGTGTGGCGCGGGCGGTTGCTCCTCGTAAGCCCATTTTTGTCTCTCGGCTTGCTACTGTGCTACTGTTGATGATGTCAGGAGTCACCTGTTAAACCATCTTAAGGTAGCTCCTAATGAAATAGCTGTTTTTAGGTTTAGAACTTTAAGCATAAGCGTTCTATTTCTTCTTTTAAAATAGTTCTACCTGATTCCTACCTTGAAAAAGCACTTGATCCTGTAGCTTGGCCTGAGCACAGTATCATTCATGAATTCCTAGCTAAAGACGCTCAGAATCCTACCCCTGCAGAAACTGCTTCAAAAAACTGAAAACCATTGTATTTTCCTGCTGCTATCAAAACGTTAGAAGTATTCTGGGTAAGCTGAGCCAATTTTTTACAAAGAGTGCTTATTTTGATTTTGATGTTATCGTGCTTACTGAAACTTGGCTTAACTCCTCTGTCTCTGATTATGAAATTCTTGTTTCCAAATTCGTAGAGTTTCGATTGGATCGTCCAACTTTTTCGATGGTGTCCTCATTGCTGTTAGTATTGAGTACCCTGCTGAAATGATTCCTTTCCCGATCGAGTTCGGAATTGAGTTCATTGCGGTGAAAATTTTAACTGGATCGTCTCATATTTTCCTGACCTGTTCCTACATTCCTGATTTAATCCTAATCATGGGAGATTTCAACCTTCCCATCATTTCCTGGATCCCGTCTAAGGTAGACAATTCCCTGTTTTCCAGTTGTCATAACGACTTTATTGATGGCCTTACCGATCTTGCCCTGCTCCAAATTAATCCAATTCATAACACTCATGACAGATTTTTGGACCTTATTTTTTTCCAATGTGTCATCCGCTGTGACAGTCATTCGGTCCCCGCCGCTATCGCTTCCTGAAGACTTTCACCATCCTACACTATTAGCATCGGTCTTAATTGATGTGCCTCACAATGAAGCTGGCTTTAATGTTAAACCTCGTTTCAAATGCTTCAGAAAGACTGATTTTATCGCCCTTCGGAATCATTTAGCTG